GAGGCGGGCATGGGAGGAGGAGACCAGGGAACTAGAGAGAAGGAGGTCTTGTGAGGAGCGGAGTGTGCGTGCTGGGCGGTACTTGGATATTAGGTCGGTGATGTAATTTGGGGCAATATGATGGACAGCTTTGTACGTCAGCGTTACGATTTTGAATTTGATCCGTTGCGCAATCGGAAGCCAGTGGAGGGATTGGAAGAGGGGGGTGGCGGAGACAGAGCGGTTGGAAAGGTGAATGAGTCTGGCAGCCGTATTCAGGATGGACTGAAGCGGGGATAGCCAGCGGAGAGGCAGGCCAGTGAGGAGGGAGTTGCAGTAGTCGAGTCGTGATATGATGAGGGAGTGGATGAGCTGTTTAGTGGTTTCTGGGGTTAGGAACGCGCGTATTTTGGCGATGTTGCGGAGGTGGAGTCTGCATGAGTTTGTTAAGGATTGGACTTGGGGCTGGAAGGATAGGTTGGAGTCCAGAATGACACCAAGTACTCTGGCCTGCAGGGCGGATTTGATGGTAGCGTTGTTATATGTGATAGAGAAGTCAATGGGGGGTGGTGTCCGGGCTGGGGGGAAGACAAGAAACTCTGTTTTGGAGAGGTTCAGTTTAAGGAAGTGGAGCGACATCCAGTCTGATATGTCGCTCAGCAGGTGTGTGATTCGGGCGGAGACCGAGGGGGTGAGGGTGGGGGGTTGAGAGATAGATTTGTGTGTCGTCGGCATAGAGGTGGTAGTTGAAGCCGTGAGAGTGTATGAGTTGGCCAAGGGAGGAGGTGTAGATGGAGAAGAGAAGGGGCCCGAGGACAGAGCCTTGAGAAGCCCAACAGAGAGGGGGAGTGAGGGGGACGTGGTAGCATTATAGGTAATGCTGAAAGAGCGTTGTGACAGGTAGGATGAGAACCAGGAGAGAGCAGAATCTCTGAGACCGAGGGAGTGTAGTTTTTTGAGGAGGAGGGGGTGGTCGACTGTGTCGAAGGCCGCAGAGAGATCAAGGAGTAGGAGCACAAATAGATATAAATACCCCAAGTTGAATAACAATGGCCTTAAAAAAGAAAGTGTCCCTTCAACTAGAGACTGCGACTTGAGTCCTCTGATGTTTAAAGTTCCTGATATGGTGGTATCTGCTGTCTTCTGCTAGCAATGGTGGGGTCCATAAGCATTAGTGAATAATAGTAATTCAATGAGGTTAAACAGATAATCAGTGGTACTGCTCAAAGCGAAGGTCTCCTGGTAACTGAGGTGTAAAAATGCCTCTAATGTGATGACTAACCACTTTAGACTGTCCAACAATTAAAAATGGAACTGTTTTTTCTTTTACTGGCCACCTATAAGGGATCCTTCTCCATGGACCACCAATGTGAGGGAACACCACATTTTTTACTGTTTGCTTTTTTTTTTTAGCAATTGTTTGTTTAATTTCATAGTTATTACTGAAAATAATTTTGTTGTACAGAGCAGTTCTGGGTGTTCATACGTAAAGTACGTCATATCCAGAGGCGGACTGACCATTGGGGAACTCGGGCACTGCCCGAGGGCCAGGGGTCATTAGGGGACCCCATGAGATGTCCCTGGTACCTTTCATAGGCTTTTTTTGGTGTGGTTTGAGTGTGGGCGAGGACACAGGGGCCCCATGATCCCCTACTGCCCGGGGGCCCCATGAGTTGTCAGTCCACCCCTGGTCATATCCCTTTATTATTCTATTTATTCTCATATGTCAACAGACTGTCCACATTAATAAATCTTGAGCTGTAGATATGGTCATTATCAGTAGAAGGTTCCCTGAGATTTGAAAGTTATTTCAAGGATTCCTCCACATTTTAAAAGGTTGAGATGGATGTCCTTTAGTATCATGATTAATACAATGGTCAGATGCTCCATCTACTTCTGGCTTTAGTGACCTAATAGTTGGCAAGTCAATGTAAGCAAATCCTTTGGTGACACTGGACGATCATGGAAACTCTGACGGTTCAATTATCTTATATCCAGCAAATGTTGTTTTTGACTAATTTTCCGTTCATTATTTTTTAATGGGCTGTTAAAAAAAAAAAAAAGCATCACAAAAACACAATTCTACCGCAGAGAATTTTATCAGTTTCTTTCCATTGTCACACATAGGATTACATACACCCTCCCTACAGGAATGCGGCGTTCAGCAGTTGAACCTAACGAATGGATTTCCCCATCATACACACAACAGAAAGGGAATTTCAGCAGGTGGGGGAGGGCAGAAATCTTCATAGTATGGGAAAACACACATCCAAGCAGGGCAGGTTCGGGAGACTCCTTGCAGGTTGTCAGTGAACAGTGAAAAAAAAACAGATATTGAGGGTTTTTTTTTTTTTAACCCTTTCACTTCCAGAACTGTTTTTGCTTTTTTTTTTTTTTTTTTTTTACACACGTTTTCAAAAAACATTTTAGGCTTGCAAATTAGACAAAATAGTATATATTTTTTGTGAGAGCAGACACCCTGGAGAATAAAATAGCTGTGGTTCCATATTTTTATTATGTCACACAAAATCAGCTCAATGGTTTGGAAAAACACTAGATTTCAGTTAAAAAATACACGTTAATTTTTGGACACACAATCACAATAATGTACCTAATTTTTTGGAAAAAAATGTAAAATATGAGGTTACACAGAGTAAGTAGATACCCAACATGTCAAACCTTAAAATTGTGTGCGCCCGTGAAATGGTGACAAACGTCAGCACCCTATATTTTCCATTTTTGAAAAACGCAATGCAGAAACGTCTCAAACGCAACCTGCATAAGTGTAAACCTAGCCTAATGTCTACCAAAAACTATGTAGTGTAAGGGCCATGACTGATTAGACACAAATTGATTGGTTAGATTAGGTAGGTGGTCATTTTACAATGTTTCAGTAAATCTATAGTTGATTGTGCAGAAGTTGCATGTCCAGATTGTATCATGTATGGTAACACTTAGAGAGAGCTGTCATCCAAGCAGATGTCCCCATTAACAGATTTACCCTCACCTCTTGTTCTGGTGACAATTGTAAAATTCGGGATTTTCCATTGTCTCTGTGATAATGATCACCAAAAGGGAAAACCAATGGTTTAGCTGTTTGGGGCGAAAGCTGAGCATCATATAAGTGGTATTTCTATATATAACAATGGTTGCTAAGGAAGCAGCAGTTGCTGGCACCCACTGAGTCTCTAGCAACCGCCGCTGTCTCCTGCACATTGGCTTACATGGCCTGGAATTCTTGGCTACATAAGCAAAATGGGCGGGGTAGCAGTGACATCACTTCCCAAATATGGTCACTGTCTGTATTTGGTCAATGATGTCACTACAATCCCCACCTCTTCCTTTATATAGCTGATGACAGCCCAGGGACCTGTTATTTGGCAGGCGTTACCATCATATCCAACGGGTGTTCAATTTTGGGGAGTTGCTGGGCAGTGGGTATTGTGATTGATGGTGGAATACAACTGGGGACTTTTTTGGGGACTTTTATTTTTTAAGACTTCATGCCTGGATTAAAGGGTCTGGTATGGGTTTTTAGGGACCTTACACATTTTTTTTTTTGCATAGCGATCCCCTTATTATCCATACAAGACTCAAAGGGTCTGATGTATATTTTGGGGAGACTCTTCGCAAATATATTTTCATTCTTGCTGAAGGATGCGCTACAGCAAACATGATATTTACAAAGAAAAAAATGATACAGTTTAAATTACCAACAAATGACATTTCATTGCTGGCTTCTTCTTTTTTTATTCTTTTAATTCTCTTCCTCCTGCCTCTCCTTTCCCCTCCCACCTCTCCCTATTGCCATCTGCTTTTAAAGTAAAAAAAAAAAAAAAAGCATGCAGACCACTCCAAAGGTCCCCCAAATATTAAGCGGGGAGGACTTTGGAGGGGTCTGTGTGCTGTTTTTTGTTGTTTTTTTGTAATAGAAGCTCAAAGGGAAATATCATTTGCTGAAAAATTTAAAACCATTTTCCTCTGTAAATGTCAGTGCTTTAAAAAATCATTGCTCCCGGCCAAATTATTACATTTTAAAACATTTTTTTTCTACACTGGTACTAGTTACGCAATGAGTTTGTATGTTCTCTCTGTGCCTACGTGGGTTTACTTTTTACTTTCTGTACTCATGTTTCCTCCCACACTGCAGAGACATGCTGGTAGGTTAACTGGCTCCTGTCTAAAATGACCCTGATCAATGCATGCATGTAATATAGGAACCTTAGAAACTGCTTGAGGGCAGGGACTGATGTGAATGCATGGTATGTAAAACGCTGTGCGACTTGTCAGCGCTATGTAAATACCTGTAATAAATATTTCTTGCAATCTGCTTGATTCACAATATTAGTGAATAAATACAGTCTTACTGTAAGTCCAGAGTTACCATGGTTAAAGCATATAAAAAGCCAAAACTTTTTTTCTTTTTGGATAGGTTAGAGCCTCTGCCAGGTTTTATAACCACGTTACATTTGGACAGTGCTGGGACAAGATCATCCAACGCCCAGGGCAAACATTATTATTATTATTCAGGATTTATATAGCCCCAACAATTTTCTCAGCACTTTACAAAATAAAGGGAGACAATACAGCAACAATAAAGTTCAATACAAGAGGGTTAGGTGGGCCCTGCTCCTTGGAGCTTACAATCTAAGAGTGAGGGGCCTGGTGGTACAAAAGATAATAACTGTGGGGGATGGACTGGTAGAAGGAATAGAAGATTCCATTATTTCCTGATGAGATAGGTTTTCAGACATCACCTAAAAGTGGGCAAAGTAGGCGATATTCTGATAGATTTGGGTAGAGAGTTCCAGAGAATGGGGAAAGTTCTGGAGAAGTCCTGGAGAAGAGCATGGGAGGAGGAGACAAGGGAGATAGAGAGCAGGGGGTCGTGCGAGGAGCAGAGAGGACGGTTTGGGTGATATTTGGAGACAAGATCTGTGATGTAATTTGGGGCAGAGTTATAAATGGCTTTATATGTTATTGTTAATGTTTTGAATTTTATCCGTTGGGCAATGGGAAGCCAGTGGAGGGATTGGCAGAGAGGGGTGGAGGACACTGAGTGGAGACCAGTGGAGGGATTGGCAGAGAGGGGTGGAGGACACTGAGTGGAGACCAGTGGAGGGATTGGCAGAGAGGGGTGGAGGACATTGAGTGGAGGCCAGTGGAGGGATTGGCAGAGAGGGGTGGAGGACATTGAGTGGAGGGCAGAGAGGGATGGCAGATATGGAACGGTTACTAAGGTGGATGAGTCTGGCAGCAGCATTCATGATAGACTGAATAGGGGATAGCCTGCGATGAGGTCGGCCAATGAGGAGGGAGTTACAGTAGTCAAGGTGAGAGATAACAAGGGAGTGAATAAGTTGCTTAGTGGTTTCCGAGGTTAGGAACGGGAGTATCTTGGAGATGTTGCGGAGGTGAAGTCTACAAGATTTGGACAGCGATTGGATTTGGGGCTGAAAGGACAGATGGGAGTCTAGGATTACACCTAGTACCCTGGCATGAGGGGAGGGACTGATGGTTGTATTATTGATCCTAATGGAGAAGTCAGGGGAGGGGGCACAGGCTGGAGGGAATAGTATGAGCTCTGTTTTTGAAAGATTGAGTTTGAGGAAGTGGAGTGACATCCATGCCGATATGTCACTTAGTAGGTTAGTAATGCGAGAGAAAAGACTGAAGGGGTGAGGTGAGGAGTAGAAAGATAGATTTGTGTGTCATCAGCATAGAGATGGTACTGAAAGCCATGGGAGTTTATCAAGTGACCAAGGGAGGAGGTGTAGATGGAGAAGAGAAGGTGTCCAAGGACAGAACCTTGAGGGACCCCTACAGAGAGAGGGAGTGGAGAGGAGGAGACAGAGTTAAATAAAACGCAGTTTACTGGTTAGAAGCAGGATAGGCTTATTAAAGAGAAAGGTTTTCAGGGATCGTCTAAAGGTAGATAGATTAGGAGATAGTCGGACAGATTGGGGTAGGGAGTTCCATAGGATGGGAGAAGCTTAGGAGAAGTCCTGGAGGTGGACATGGGAGGAGGTGACATGGGAACTAGAGAGTAGAAGGTCTTGGGGGAGGATCGAAGAGAGCGGTTTGGTAGATATTTTGAGACCAGGTTAGTGATGTAGCTGGGGGCAGAGGTGTGGATGACTTTGTAAGTAGTTCTAAGTATTTTGAATTTTATTCATTGGGCGAGTGGCAGCTAGTGGAGGGATCGGCAGAATGAGCCCCCCTCGTTCATGATGTGCAAGCTTAGGATCCTTCGTCCAGAAGTTACAAGCAAGTACCCCCAGCAGTAACTTGCTTGTCAAAATCACTACTCCTGTCAGCCTTGAAACAGAAAGAAGGCACCCCCATCCCTACATACAAACCATTGCGCACAGGGCAGCTGTCCCTCCCGCCCACCCCTTGTCCAGGTCTTGCATTTGGAGAGCTTGGCCCTTTCTACTTGTTTGTTGCATCTATTTCAGCTACTTTGTGTTGTGTCACTGGGACAGGAAGGAAATCTCCCCTAGAAGATACAGAGAGAAAAAAAGTCTTTAAAAATTCCCCATTCCCAAAGTAAAAAATGGCTTTGGCTACATTTTAAAGGGTTAAAATATGTAACACAACAAGAAGAACAAAGAAAACAGAGGTAGGTGACTGCACCCAACCGTGAGGGCGAATGGGATTTGTTTGGAATGTTGGTACAAAGCTAATCTCTTATCTGTCTACCTTTAACCTGCTGCAAACTTTCTCAACCTTCCATAGAAAATATATCCTGCACTTCCTCCTGGCTGTACCTGTGAATTTTCCAAACACTCTACTTTTCTGCCTGTTTTCTTTACTGTATTTATTTTATAAATGTGTCCCAGAATGAGGCATCCTTGTTAGTTTAAAAATAAATATAAACTCTTCTAATAGACCCCAGATGTCTCAGTAAAGAGGACCTGTCACTGCTGATTGTTACCACAAGGGATATTTACATTCCTTGTGACAGCAACAAAAGTGATATACATTTTTTTTTAAAGAGACAGCATAAAAATAAAAAAATAAAAAATTAAATAAAATAAATATTACAATAAAAAAAATTTTTTAACCACTTGCCCGCCAGAGGATTTACCCCCCTCCTTACCAGGCCATAGCGCTGTGTTACTTTAACTGGCAATTGCGCAGTCATGCAACACTGTACATAAATTACATTTATGTCTTTTTTTCCCACAAATAGAGCTTTCTTTCGGTGGTATTTGATCACCTCTGCAGTTTTTTATTTTTACATTTTATTAGAAAATGTAAATATTAAAATATAAATATAAAATTTAAAAAAATATGTATTAAAAAAAATATTTTTTTTTACACTATATCTTTAATATTTTTTAAAATCTTTTTTTACCCTGGGTTCACATATGTGCGGTACTGGAACTGTTAAGTTGTATGAAATCGCTCCTGAACTGGGCTGAAAATCACACCAGACTCATTTTTAAATCGCACGGTGGCTGGCCCTCACATCTGTGAACCAGCTTCATAGAAAAGGATTTTGGCTCACACGTTATGCGGATTGGATGCGGTTCAAAATGCATCCAATTCACATGTATGTGAACTGTGTCTTATTACAATGAACAACATCCCATGTGATAGCATGGGCCATGAAAGGTCCTCTTAATGGAGAGATCTAGGGTCTATGAGATGGCAGATGTCTCTTCTGGCCTCCAAAGCATCTGATCAAACCAAAATTGATTTTATTCGATGCTTGTTCAAGCCGGTAATGGCTTGTTTACTTGAGGCCGAAACTGGCAGCGACTAAATCTTCATTGCTTCTGGTTTCTGATGACATACAATAGGAGGAGCAACATAAGTTTCTTTCACTGTGTCCCAGGAACCAGATACTGCCGATCGCATCCTTACTAGTCTAGAACCCGGCCAAGTACTTAGTGGGATGGAAGGACACCGCAAGTGGCAAAATGTTTACTTTGATGCAGGGAATACATTAAGGTGAAAAAAAAAATTACCTTTTTAAAACAACTTTAAGAGGACATGACTGCAATATACAAGTCTTTGAAAGGTGACTCTGGCATTGGGATGAAGCTATTTAACCTAAGGTCTTGAAACTACATACAGCCATGCAATGAAGGTGGATGGGAAGCCATTCAGTCTCAAACTGTATAAGGGGTTCTCTACAATTAGAGTTGTAAGGATCTGGAACTCCCTTCAATAGCTGGTGAAAGACCTCTGCCCTCTGGACCTCCTTCTCCATGCCACTCTGCCTAGAATTCCTCTGCTGAGGCCACTGTTGGCTAGTGAGTTCCTGAATTCCTACCCTGTGCCCCTGGACTTGACTGTACCAGCTTTCGGTTTGCCAATCACTGGGCCCGGATTGTTGCTTTTGATTCTGGACTAAGCTCTGCTGTACTAGAATGCCACCCTGTGCTAAGGACTTTGCCTATGTTGTGCTGGATCCCTATCCATCCTCGCTATGTGCCTAGTTCCTTGTGTGGATTAATCCTTTCCCTGCCAGAACTCTGCTAACGCTGCTGTGTATGTGGACTCTGTGCCTCCTGTCCTCCTCCCTGAACTGGGGTGCTTCTGAGCTGCGGCCAGACCCCACAACCCCATCCTGGAGACCATACCTCTGGCTGTACTTGGTATGCTGGATTTAACCCACTCCTCCCCAGATCTCTGCACTAAGGTGGACTTGCCCTGTGTGCTGGCTTAACCCTGATTTGCCAAGACCCTTTGCCCTGCATGCTGGACTTAACCCTATTCTGTCCGGAACCTTTTGTCTTGTATGCTGGACTTAACCCAGTTCTGCCTGTAACTCTTTGCCCTGTGTGTCAGACTTAACCGTATTCTGCCCAGATCCCTTTGCCCCGTGTGCTAGACTTAACCCTATTTGGTCCAGAACCTTTTGCCTTGTATGCTGGACTTAACCCATAACCCAGTTCTGCTTGGAACCCTTTGCCCTGTGTGTTGGACTTAACTGTATTCTGCCCAGACTTAACACTGCTCTGCCCTGTTTGCCCTGTGGACTACCTGCCCTCTGCTGCCCCATATTGTCACCCTGAGAATCATTCTTCATTACTATGTCTTGTGTTCTTCTGGGGATTAGTTTTTCTATTGTCTGTACCCCAAGTTTCCCCAATAAACACCCGCACGTCGGGTTTCGTGTGATCTGCCTCCATGTGCTCTCTCAGCTCGGTAAAGGCGGCTGCGAGTGAGGGGTGGGACCCCCTTCCACCACCTGTAAAAGTAATCCAGTGGCTTCTTAGTCTCTAGGATTACTTTTACTATGTGCTGAATCTCCAGCAGAAGAATCACTGCAGTTGCAGCGATGATGGATATGTCACCCTTTCAATCCAGTGACATACTGGTACGTCACTGAACTGGAAGCAGTTATACAACAACTGAGCCTAGTATCACACTAACCTGCCCATTCCTTTTTTGCATTATTGTTTGAATTACGTTGAATTACATTGACTATGCGTTTCCTTTTTTAGGAAAATTTTACTAGATCTTTTTGCAGATCTGTTAGAATATCATACGATGCCAAAAAAAAAAAATTACACCATGCATATTGCTTACGCTTTACTACTCACAGACACACATTCACTTATTTATAGAAAGATAGTAATGACTATACAATTTCACATCATTTTCCCAGGAATAAAATGAGACAAAAGCAGAAAGAAGAGAAAAATTAGCTTTGGCTTTTTGTTAGAGATGACGGAATTCTCCAGTTCTTACTTGACAGATTCAGGTTACATTTAAGCTCTTGGCATCTACTGGGTTTCACAATATTATTCAAATTATATATTACCTAGTTACCAGGTTTTCATTGTATCCATGACTATATTTTTTTTACATACTACATATGCTAAATGTTTATTTATGATCCTATATATCATTACCTATTAACAACATTGTGGGGCATACAGTGGATATAAAAAATCTACACACCCCTGTTAAAATGTCAGTTTTCTGTGATAAAAAAATGAAACAAAGATAAATAATTTCAGAACTTTTTCTACTGGTAATGTGACCTACTGTACAACTCAGTTGAAAAACATAAAAAAACTAAAAAAAATGTGGTTGCATAAGTGTGCACAAAATAAATAAATAAAATTGTTTTAGCGCTAAATAAACACTAACATGTGTATCATAAAGGTAAATAGCACTCGTTAAACCGTGTATACAAAAATAAATCATAAATACATAAGTGTTATATAACGTGCAAACACTACAATAAATACATATTGGATGATTCCTTCAACATGAGGAATCAATAAAATGTGAACATAAAAACATGAAAAACACAGTGCAAGTGTACAAACCACACTCAGTGAAAATAAATGTCCACTCCAAGTCCACACACTGCACTTAGAATATTGAATAGTGCTCCACAAAATTAATCACGTGTAAACTCAGCCCAACGTGAAGTGAATCCAGTGCCAAATCCAAAAATAGCCAAAATGCCCCCTCACCTCCTTACAGTGACCACAAGGACCAGCTCGCTTTTTAAGGGTAAGCCACACTTTCACAGGGATATCCTCGTCA